TAGGGTTTCGGCTTTAGGGTTTAGCTTGAACATTACTGTAGACCTCGCAAGGCTTGAACCGAGCCCCTTGCGGGTCTCAGCCTACTTACCCACCGAATATTCCCTAGCCCTAGCGCTCCGTCTTAAAGCTATACGAGATTTAGGGTTTAGGGTTCGTGACCCTAAACCTAATCCTAAACCCTAANNAACCCTAAACCCTAAACCTACTCCCTGAATGCAATGCCTGAGCCCTCCACTTGAAACCGAAAGCCTCTTTGCCGGCCGAGGCTCTCGTCCAACTTCTTCTGCAGAGGTGTAGGGTCCTCCTGTTGCTGAAAAGGGCCGAGGGTTTCAGGTTTTTTTGACACTCACACTCGGACAAGCCTTCAGGTTTAGGGGGTTAGGGTTTTGGGGTTGCCTAGATATGCGGTACACGAACTATACAGGGATTAAGCAGGGAATATTACGGATTACAACTTATACCCTCACTGGATGCATATATTCTGCTCGTGCCAAGGGCTGTACGCGTTTCAGTGTTGGCCATCTTCACTTGGCTGACTTCGGAAACCCTCCAAAAAGTTAAACTTTTAGTCTCCTCATTATGGTTCGTATAGAAACCCAAAAAGTTAAGAGCCAGCCAGAAGAACACCAAGTTCAAGTATAGCAAGCAACTCCACTCGAGTCATCACGGTATGATCATTTTCAACAGAAACCCGGCCTCACATCCCACGCAAAATTTGCCACTTAAAGGGTCCCTAGGTTTCTGCGTGTGTACCGTTTGCAAAGGGCCAACTCAGAAAACCTGTTCAGCCCTGAAGAACCCCCCTAGTCCCAAATGGTGCACACCCTCTTGTATCCAGAGGCCTTTAATTGGGACAAAAAGGGAATCATGCTACGAATTGCTCCGGCCCGTACATTAAGCCCCTGGCTCTCCAAAACGTGCCTTCTCGGCCGCCTCCGTGACAGCACCCTGGATGGCGCCGATCTCGGTGGACATGCCAGTGGCCACCACGCACCTTTTTGTCTGTCATTGTCGAAGATCGCGTAAGGTTCTAAATGAAGTTTATGAGGTTCCCTCCACCGAGTTCTTGTAGGTTTCATGACGTGGTACGTCTACGAGCATGGGGGGGTTGGAGTTGATGGCTTACAGGTAAGGAAGATCGCAGGCACATCGGGCATGCCCCAACATATGTGTGGATGACACTTTTTTTTGCTGCGGCTGTGAGCAACGAGAAGGATGAAGACCCCTGACAACCCTAAACCCTAAACCTAAGACTACGAAAGGAACTGGATGCTAGACGAGGGGCCCCAGACAGGCGCCATTCGAGATCGTAGTGGATGCAAAAAGCATGTTGCTCTTGCCTGCGGCTCGAACTTAGGGTTTAGGGTTGACGGTTTAGGGTTTAGGTATAGCGGTATACCGTTTAGATTGAACATGCTGCGATCAGGAACGATGCAAGGGTTGCATGCACCTTCCAGCATCCCAAGCCGAACAAATGCGCTGCATACAAGCGCCCCAACTGCCACGGGCTTTGGGTTGTGCGAGCTTCTTAAGAAGAGCAGCAAACAAATGGGAGTAGCAGCTCAAGGACATCAGGCCGAACCCACCATCGGCTTCATCGTCTGATGCTGTCCCTACCGTCAAGTGCAACACCAGTCAGTCATCGTAGTAGAAGAAGTCGTCGTCGCCGTCACCAGCAGCAGCAGTAGCAGCAGCAGCTGCAGCACTAGTAGCAGTAGCAGTAGCAGTGGCAGTGGCGGTAGCAGCAGCAGGAGTGGCAGTAGCAGTGGCGAAGCAGCAGTTGTTTTTTGTTGCGTCCTCGCGGCGCTTCTGATGGTAGCAGTTAGCAGAGCAGCGTTGTCGTCGCACCGGTAGCAGTAGCACGACATAGTTGCAGTAGCCGTCCTTGTATATCACAGTAAGAATATGCGTCAAATAGCCCGTGCCGCAAGAAAACAAAGACGAGCCACAGCAGCAGCCGCCTTTCGTTCTAGGAATGTACAAGGCGAGACCCAAAAGCGACCGTAGTGGTAAGCGTAGAGCTAAAACACACACACACACACACACACACACACACACTTTTACTTACTTACTTACTTACTTACTTACTTACCTACTTACTTTTACTTTGGCTTGGCACGGGTGACCTCAAAGAACATGTGACAGGACCGACGATGCAGAAACAGAACAGCAGTACGTTATATCAAAACAGTTTTGGTGCGTAAGCATGCCAGACACCAGAAATGGCATGCACAAAATCAAGGTCTGTAGGCCGCAGGGGTAGGGTTCTGCCACGGTGTGGCAGACCGAAAGGAATGGCACACCAAATGGAAGAGTGCATCCCCCAGCTGCCCTCGAAGCAGGGCGAACAATACTCCTGAGCCAGGCGTAATTTGTTCGCCCTCCTTCGGGTTAGTCGGGGTGAGAGCATTGCCATCCTTCGAAGATGACGATCTGCTGTTGTTTTGGCAAAGATACCATGAGCACGCCGGGGCCCAGAACCGATGTATTGAGAGACGCTGTCCTGGACTGCGGAGAGGAGCTTCGTTGGACAGAGCCTCTCCGCACTCGACGAATAACTACGCCGAGCCCAGGCACCTCCCGATGCGAACCCCCAGCTGCCACACCGAGCCCAGGAGCATCCACATGACAATATGAAGATACAGGTACGTTTACAGCACCACACCGACAGGCACACACACACACACACACCCGCACCCGCGCGCAGGCACGCATCGCGATACTGGTCCTAGCCCATCACTCTTCTAAACCCCAACCCGAAACCCTTACGTAAACCTCCAAAATCAGGCTTCTTATCACCACAAAAAAGGCTTCAATAAGGTTTTGAGGGCCTGTTGCAGTATACTTAAGCAAAGGAAATGCTTCAGGCTTACTTCCCCAATAAGCCAGGGAAATAAAAGGTTGAACTTTCAGGTTACTACTAAGTTATAAGAATCCAACAAGTTTGGAGAACTAAGTAAACCCTAAACCCAAACCCCTAAAACCGAAACAGAACCCTTAAAGGTTGGGTATTGGGGAACTACGCAGGCTTCTGCATTAAGCCCGTCAGGATCGGCCTTGAAGAACGATCTCAGGATCATCCACAGGGTCGGAGTCCTGAAGAATTACGTGCAGTCAGGGCTCCACGGCTATATGGGTGTCTGTAGGGGGTTTAGGGTTTAGGGTTTATAGTACAAGGGCTGTGAACAGGTTTCATCAGGACGTGCAGTCAGGGCTCCACGGCTATATGGGTGTCTGTAGGGGGTTTGTATTGGGTGGTTGTCAAAATTGTCAAAA